CAGAAAGCACCTCAGGTAAAATGGAGGAAGCATGAATGTAGCCTTTAATGATATGCCAACAAACACAAGTGCACCGTGCTAACAGGGAAACTTGGTGTGGAGTGTGAGAACTCTATTTATTGTAATAAAAACTTTATCCAAAAATTAAAAAAATTACTTTAGGTTCCTGACTGTTCCCCTAGCAGGGCTCTTTCCTGTTATTCCTAGCTTGCTAATAATCATAATAAGAATGGGTATTAAATTTATAATCTCTTGAGATGAAAAAGTACATACACACAAAGCACACCAGAAGGGTTGCTGTGAGTCAGGAGAATGAGTAGATGGAAGAAATGAGGGAGTGAAATATAAATAGATGAAACCAGAGACAGCCTTGCTCTTGGGAGTCGTGATCATATTCCATGGCCCAGGGACTGCAGCTTCATTAAAAGAAAGAAGAAAACTGGTTGTGTACTGAGAAGGCCAGGGGGCCAGCTGCAGAGCCTGGCTGACTTTCTGCTGACAGATGTTGAACCCGTCACAAAGCAGAGGCCTGGCTCTTCTGAGGCACCAACCACATAGTCCCCACTGTGAAATAGTGGGGGATGGATAAAAAATAACAGTAAACTGAAATGTCATGATTTAAGAAACACAAATAAAACTAATTTTGGGGGGAAAAGTTAAAAATTCCTTAATTTTTTATTCCTGGTACCACTCCCACAATTTACAGGGCAATATGCCTGATGTAATGAAAAGAAAAAGAAAAACACAAAGCTGAAACAGATAAAAGACCTCAGGGATGTACATCTAATTGACAATGCATTGCATTCATCAATAGCTGCACTTTTTGGAAACTGTGGCTGTGACAGTCCTGAACCAGAAGGGTTTCCTGTTTAAGCTGCAGTAACTTTTCTGACTGTGGATCATCGTTCCTTCTGTGGCAGAGTTTTACAGTTCCGCTAATGCACTTGGGACGACTGTCTCAAAGGAACCTGCAGCTTTCCTGACAACTCCTCGCTCTCTCTCCTGCTAAGAACTGTAGCCCTTTTCTGTTGTTTTTTTAAAACCTTCTGCTACCATATCCACCACTTCCACCACCAGCTCCATAACCACCACAAGGACTACCAGAGCTTCTTCCACCAAAACTGCCCCCTTTCATGGGTCCGTAATTTGACTGCTGTTGACCACTATAATTTCCAAAGTCATTCTAGTTTCCACCACCACCATAGTTACCACCACCAGAGTTTCTTCCTTCATGGTAACCATCATCTCCTCCTCCTCCACCATATCCACCACCCTGATTTCCGTATCCTGGTCCATGACCACCATAGCCTCCTCTACTGCTGTAACCAGGACCACTGCCACAGTTCCTACCATCACCTCCAAATCCATTATATCCCCCAGCACCTCCTCCGTAACTACCTCTGCTGCCACCACCTCCACCACCATAGCCTCCTCTTCCACAAAGTTTCCACCATGGCCAAATTCCCTCCACCACCTCGAAAGTTTCCTCCACGACACATAAAGTTGCCAGATCCACCTCCATGACCTCTTTGTGATCCAGCAGACTGCATCTCTCGTTTAGAAAGGCCCTTTTTCACTTCACAGTTATGCCCATTAATAGTGTGGTATTTCTGAACAACAATTTTATCAACTGTGTCGTGATCATCAAAAGTTACAAAAGTAAATCCTCTCTCTTTCCCACTCTGCCCATCTTCCATAACTTCTATGGTTTCAATCTTGCCATACTTTTCAAAGCAGTCTCTCAAAGTATATTCTTCTGTATCTTCTTCAATACCGCCAACAAAGATTTTCTTCACTGTTAGATGGGCACCAGGCTTTACTGAATCCTCTCTAGAAACAGCTCTTTGGTTCCACTACAAGCCCATCAACTTTGTGTGGTCGAGCACACATGGCTGCATCCACCTCTTCAACACAAGAATAAGTCTCAAAACCAAAGCCCCTGGAGCATTTTGTTTGGGGATCTCTCATTACCACACAATCTGTGAGTGTGCCCCATTTCTCAAAATGTTCTCTTACGCTATCATCTGTAGTCCTCGAAGCTCCAGCCACCAATAAAAAGCTTCCTCAACTGCTCTGGTTCCTTTGGGTCTTGCTGCCCCCCACCCCCACCCCCTGCGGCTACAGCCAGAGTTGAGCTGGGGGCGACTGGGCAGCAGTTTTACCTCCATTTTGAGACCAGACTCGTCTCTTCCAACTCGAGTTCAATAACGGTCCGAGAGGAAGAGGTCCTAATTTGTAATACCTAGAGAGAAGTGGAAGTATAGAAAGAGGAACAATTACGAACAATAATATACTCATGAAAAATCTTCGTGGGCCTGTTAGATCTAAAATTGTCCAGGGCCAGGGATTTAGCTCAGTAGTTTCACCGACTACTGTGCAAGCCCAAGGACCTGAGTTCGATCCCCACTACAAGAAAAAAAAAATTGTCTTAAGCGACCCTCTCTGGGTATTAACCCCGAGCCCAGGACCTTCCGTGGAGCACTGTGCCTGGACCTGCCCCTGGGAGCCATGCAGAACCAGGCATGAGATCAGAAGGCTGCCTACTTTTTTGAAGCTCTGTTTTCTTGGAAATCTAGAAGCAGCGGTGTGTGTGCAAATGTCCCCTGAGCAGATACGCCTGGCCACAGTTCATTTTGCACATGTGGGCACTCAGATACCCATCTTAGGGTGACCAAATTTAGCAAAGAAAAATATTGTCTAGGATGATCAGATACAGATGTTTATCTGTACTTCAGATAAAAAACTAATATATATATATATATTTTTAGTATTTATGTGATGTAGATAAATCTATAGGGACTGACAGATTCCTAGGCTGTGGGGAAAAGGTGGAGGGTGACTGCTAATAGGTACAGGGTTCTTTCTGGAGCACGAAAAAGAAAATTAGGGTACAATCGCCACGACTCCAAATATGCTGAGGACACTGGGCTGTACATTTTAAGTGTGTTCTGTAGTAAGTGCATTGTAGCTCATCAAATCTGTTTGTAAGTGTCCTTAGGACCCGCTGTGCTGATGTACATCTTTAATGCCTGCATTCTGGGGGGCTAAGGGACAAGGATCAAGTCTGAGCTTAGTCTGGGCAATAGGGACGCAATGAGACCCTGTCTCAATAAATAAAAGGATGGGGCGTGCAGCTGAGTGCAAGAGCCCTGGGTTTGATAACCAGCATCAATAAGCGAATGAATGAATTGAGTGTCCCCGGGAGTCCCATGTTCTACCTGGCCATGCCTCCTGCCCGCGGGTCTCGGGGCCAGACGTGTCCTCAATCGACACCCCAGGGCCACACAGCCGGGTTTTCCGTTAGTGACAACTAGAGTCACTTGATTCTGTCACCAGCAGAGTGGGTGCCCCTCTAAGTCAGGACCCCTGACCCACCCGTGACAAGAACGGCCGGTGCTCTGGGCTGACAATCGCCCGCGAGTGTCCTCGCGTCCCGACCTCTGACTGGAAGTTTTCGATCCTCTGGGCCTTTCCTAAGAACACTTGTTCGCCACCCAGTGCTCTGGACAAAACGAGACTGGGTTTGGCCGACGACCTCGGGACCTATCACAGCACTCACAAGACGACCCTCTTCCGAGCCCGATTCCACCGGAAATACGCATAGATTGGCTCTTATTGGCTCAGCTCACGTGTCTGTCTCCGCCCCGATCCCCGCAGACCCGAGCCTGTCGTCCTATGATTGGCCAGACGGCATCATGTGACTGGAGGTGAAGCGGCAGGTCCGAGCAGTCCTGGTTACGGCGGCCCAGGAGGGACAGACCCGGACCCCGCTAGGTGTGGGGTTCGTCGAATCCTCTACGCCGCCCGGGCTCCTGCGAGGAGACCCTGCGGGGTGAAGGATGAGGCCGCAGACCCTCCGGCTGCATGGCCCAGCCTTAGACGGAAAGCGCAGGCGACCTCAGTCCGACCCCGTCACCCTTGGGGACGAAGCCCGGGCCACCTGTCGCGGGCGGGCTCCTGTCGGTAACGGACGCCAGCGGAGGCGTCGGCCGTGGCTGCACACTGCTGGCCGCGTCTGGACGTCTCCTGGCTGCCTGCCTCAATAGCGCTGGGTGGTGCCAGAGTTTGGGAGAGTTTTTTTGTACTGGGGATTGAACTCAGGACTTTGCGCTTGTGAGGCAGGCGGCGGCACCACTGAGCTAAATCCCCGGCTGTGGCTTTCTTCTTAGCCATCCTAACAGACAGGAAGTGGTATCTCACTAGGTTTCAATTCGCTTTTTCCTGATCTCTAGTGATGTTGAGCACTTGCTTCTTTTGAGCGGAACAGGTGTTTGGTTCACCTCCCCCACGCCAGGGCCTCCCGCACGCTAGGCAAGCGCTCTACCACTGAGCCGCGTCCCCAGTTTCAGACATTTTAAAAGTTGACTTGTTTCAACTCTCCCCTCAACAGTGGCATTTAAAATTTTTTAACATTCATTCATTTATTTACTTATTGATTGATTGGTACTGGGGATCGAACTCCGGTCCTTGTGCTTGCAGGGCAGGTAGGGGAACCACTGAGCTAAATCCCCAGCCCTACATTTATTTTTTTAATTGTCAAAAATTGTATATATTTATCGTGTACATGTATTGCAATGTGTATACATTCTGGAATGACTAGGTTAAACTACTTAATAGGCACTGGCTCATATATCATTTTCTATGATGCAGACGCTTAAAATTTATTCTTTTAACACTCTTTGATAATATATTCAAGGTTGTGTGTCTCATTTATTTCTCTTAACATTATGGTCTCAAGGTGCATCCATCTTCCCACAAATGACTCAAGTTTATCTTTCTTTTTGACAGAGTGGTACTGTATTGTTTATAAATACATTTTCTTTACCCATTTTTCTGTTGATGGACATACAGTTTCTCTTATATGAGAAAAATAAAGAGTAAAATAAGTGCAAGAGTAAATATAGAGTAAATAAAGAGTAAAAATAAAGTGCAAAATAAAACATAACAGGAAATAGGGAGCTAGAGCATTCTCAAAGGGGAAGGGATCAAGGGATGGGGAGGGGCTAGGGAAGGGAGGGAGAGGGTATAAAGAAGGAATTGGGGACACGCTAGGCAGTGCTCTACCACTAAGCCACATCCCCAGACTTTAAAAATTTTATTTTATTTTAGGTTTTTTTGAGACAGGGACTCGCTGTGTAGTTTAGGCCAGCCTTGAACTCTTGGCGATCCCCCTGCCTCAGCTTCCCGAGTGCTGAGATTACAGGCGTGTGCACCATCCCCAGCTTCTCACATTTTCTTTTTGGCTGGCTTTCTTTCCACGTACATGGAGATAAGGTAGTTGTGTTTTGGGGAGATCTGAACCCACCGGGCCACAGGCTGTACCAGGAAGCTGGCCGAAGAGGTAGGCTGTGAGGTGCCTCCATGCAGAGGCTCTGGGCATACTGGGGACACTCGGGGGCATTGGGGGAGCTGGGTGGGGTGCCTGTGCCTTTCAGAGAACCATGGCAACCAACCGGTCCCCGGAGCTCGGCGATGTCATAATGCCTGCACGCAAGGTTCTGATGGCAAGGTTCTGATGATGAAGCCCAGCCTCCCTGGAAACTTCAGGCCGCCTGCCTGGGCTCAGAGGAGGAGGAAGAGCTTTACCTGGGGCTGAGATGGAGCTACAAGCTCTTCCCTGGTACCAGAGGACACCCCTGCGGATCCTCATCAGGATGGGTAAAGGGGACCCCAAGAAACCAAAGGGCAAGATGTCTGCTTATGCCTTCTTTGTGCAGACCTGCAAAGAGGAGCACAAGAAGAAGAACCCCAAGGTCCCTGTCAATTTTGCCGAATTTTCCAAGAAGTGCTCAGAGAGGTGGAAGACGATGTCTGGGAAGGAGAAATCTAAGTTTGATGAAATGGCCAAGGTGGATAAAGTGTGCCATGACCAAGAGATGAAAGATTGTGGACCTGCAAAGGGAGGCAAGAAGAAAAAGGACCCTAATGCCCCTAAGAGACCACCGTCTGGATTTTTCCTGTTTTGTTCAGAATTCCGCCCCAAGATAAAATCCACCAAGCCTGGTATCACCATTGGAGATGTGGCCAAAAAGCTGGGTGAGATGTGGAATAACTTAAGTGACAGCGAAAAGCAGCCCTACATCACCAAGGTGGCAAAGCTGAAGGAGAAGCATGAGAAGGATGTTGCTGACTATAAGTCTAAAGGAAAATTTGGTGCTGCCAAGGGTCCTGCTAAAGTTCCCCGGAAAAAGGTAGAGGAGGAGGAGGAGGAGGAGGAGGAGGAGGAGGAGGAGGAGGCCAGCAGCAGCAGCAGCAGCAGCAGCAGGAGGAAGGAATAAAATGTTTCTCTGTCTCCTTGTGAATCCCTTGCGTAGGGCGCGCCGCGACTGAACTCGTAGGTTAAATGACAGCCCGATTTCGAACGTGTGGTCTCCAATGCTCTGGAAGTTGGCGGCAGTTGTTCTGTGTGGCTTGGGGGTCGTCTGGAGCACTGTGAAACTGTATCAAAGCTGTACGTATTTCCAGACATTTTTTAACTGAAAAGGCACTCCGTGTTCTCCTCCTCGCTCTGTGCACTTTGCTGTTGGTGTGTAAAGGCGTTTGAAGATGTCTCTGCCATTTGTTTGTTTTTGAATTTGTAAGGTGGTGTTAACTATGTGGTTATTGGTCAGAAACCCTTGGCCACCAACTGTACATATCTAGAGATTGTAAAAAGAACAAAGCAATCCAGGCAAACCCTCGGTGCCCCCTGCTTGGCGCTGAGGCTGTGGGACAAATGCCACCGGGAGGGGACCATAGAGCTGTCGCTGCGGCTATGGCGGGCGTCCAGTCAGCTTCTGTATATAGTGACCTAGCATCCCGCTGCCCATCTTAGCTGGGGACCAAGAGGGTCAGCTGGCATGAGAAGTGTTTGGATTCCTTTTTTCTTTGGTACTGGGGATAAAACTCTGGTCCTTGCGCTTGCGCAACAGGGGGCAAAACCACTGAGCTAAATCCCCGCCCCCGTTTTGTTTTTTTAGTTAAGTGCAGTAGATGGAAACTGTTTCCAAACAGACTGTAGAACTCTTCATTTTCTGCAGAGAGCCGATGAAGGTTCAAAAAGCTTCTGTATTAAACAGGATTTGCATCGCTGTGTTATTTTTTTGTATATTTAGAATGCTGAAATGTTTTCCAAGTTAAATAAACAGTATTGCATTAAAAAAAAAAAGGAATTGGGATGTGTTATATACATACACGTCCCAACTTCCCACATGGAAAGTTAACATGGATTACACACGTGTACTAATAAACTAAAATACAAATTTTAAAAACATTTTATACTTTGTCATTAACTATAGTCACAGTATACAATAGTCTCTCGATATGATTCAGCCTATGTAACCGAAATCTTGTGTCCTCTAACCTGTATCTCCCTCGTCAGCCCAACTCCCTAAGTGCATAGTAATCACTGCTCTCCTCTCTACCTCTGAGTGTAACAGTTTGAGACTCTGCATCTGTACCCGCTAATCCTGATGCCAACATCCCTAGATTAAGAGGTGCCTAGCAGATTGTCGCAGCGTGCTCCTGGTGTGTCTGGGTGGGTTTTCGAGGTGTGGTCTTGGGTCCTGAAATCGACGAAGGACAACCAGCCTGGTCTGCATATCAAGACCCTGTCTCAAAATTTTTTCTATTTTAACACAGGGTCTTGTTAAGCCAGTAAATCACCAGGCTGGGCTTGAACTCATGGTGATCCTTCTGCCTCAGCCTCCCAGAGTGCTGGGGTGACAAGCATGCACCACCATGCCCAGCTGGGCTTTTCTTTAAAGCTGAAATAAATATATATGTGTAATTTAACTTACCCATGTTGATTCCATGTCTTGGCTATTGTGAATAATGTAGGGCAGGGAGTGTAGTTCAGTGATAATACACTTGCCTAGCATGCATGAGCCCCTAGGTTTGAGCTGCAGCACCCCCAAAAGAAATGTACTATCACAGATAATTTCCAGGAGTGCACATACCTGAAATGATGAGATGAAAAAGGAATCTTCAAATGTCAAGCACTGTGGATAAATCCCTTGAATAAAACAACGAAAGTAGAGTCTAGTGGAACTACCTAAAATTCTGTGTTGCAAATAGTGTTGCCATAGGGATCCAGCTTGGCATGACTACCGCCTTTGGGTATAACTGCCACCTTGCCTGCCAGGTGACCCTGGCCCACACCCCAAACTCTATAAGACAAAGTCTTTAAGATACCCCCCCATGCTGGGACTGTTTCCTAAGTGACCTTAGGCTTGTTAATAGTTTCCAAGAAAGGGCAAGTGTGTTTAGGGTGGCTGTGAGTCACTTCTCACAGCATATAAACCCCTTCCTCCTGCTGTGGGGTACAGGGAGCCTCTTGTCTTGTGCTGCCCAAGACACACTTTTGTTCATAAGTCCCCACTAAACTACGCTTTGTGCAGTTTGGGATCTGTCTGTGTCTTTTGTTAGATGGCACTTTGCAAGGTTGGTTCTCCCTACTTGGATGGGCTTTCCCATTTTACATTTTATTTACCTTTCTATTGTGTAAGCCAATTAAAATGTTACATTTGCCCAGCACGGTGGCATACGTCTGTAATCCCAGGCTGAGCCCTGTAATCGGGAGGCTGAGGCAGGAGGATTGCTCTGGGGCCAACCTGGGCTACATAGTTCAGGGCCAGCCTGGGCTACATAGTTCAAGGCCAGCCTGAACTACATAGTGAGATTCTGTCTCAAAACAAAAACAAGGGCCGGGGATTTAGCTCAGTGGCACCATGCCTGCCTTGCAAGCACAAGGTCCTGAGTTTGATCCCTGGTACCAAAACAAAAACAAAACAAAACAAAAATAAAATGTTACATCTGAGGGACTGGGGTGTAGCTCAATGGCAGAGCATTTGCTTAGCATGCTGGAGGGCCTGGGTTCAATCTCCAGCACAGGAAATCAAAATGTTACATATGAAAAAGCATAACTTCTGATTTCTTTCTCTGGATGCAAACACCCCCCACCCTGGTCTTGGAACTCTGATCTCCGTGCTCCTGCTGGCTGCTGCCTCCCCCGCCAGCCTCCATCTCTCCCTCTGCCCTCCGCCCCCTCTTCTCTGCTCAGGCCTCCTTGTCAGAGGACCTCCATGCATCATGCTGGCAGTGTTCCTGACTTTGGTCCTTACGGGTCTTCCAGGTACAAAGAACACACCCAGTCACTCTTGTTTTTTCTGACAGAGGGAGACGGATGCTAGTGTGATCTAAGACGTGAGGGGCTGGCAGGAGTCTCACCTCGTGCATTAGATTTCTGGGTTCCATCACTCAGGGGTTATCGAATCGTTACTTTCAGTTGTTCCCCACCGGGCTCACCCTGATGAAAACAGTAGGAAATCAGGCAACTGCTAGCTTCCCCCGGAAGGGTGACTCGTCCTGCGATCTTAGTGGGCAGAGCACAGTGGAGTCTTGCGTTGGCTGCCCCTGATGGCAAAGAAGGGAGACAGAGGAAGGAGCAGAGACAGCAGCTGCGGTAGGGTTCTGGAGGACAGGGGCTTCCCACCAGGTGAGTCATTCGCTGGAGGGACGTCACAGGGAGCATTCCCGGCCAGCACCAGATGCTCACGAAGCTGGAAGGACTGTTAGTGTTTCATCTTTTATGATGTCTGTCAGAATCATTGGAATCAAATGCAAAGAGTTGGGGCCGGGGATTTAGCTCAGTGGTGCTGCCGCCTGCCTCCCAAGTACAAGGTCCCAAGTTCAATCCCTGGTACCAAAACAAAAAAAAAGAAAAAAAAAGCAGAGAGTTTTCTGAGCTTAAATTCTTAAAATTTCCAATAAGATTTTCAGCATGCTTTTGTGAATTATAAGCTGAGTTAAAATGTGCAAACACAGGGCCCTCTTTTCCCTTTCCTGCCACACCGAGGGACAGCTCTCTCAGGGCGAGTGTAGTGCTGATCTGGCCCCTGGGTCCCCTCAGGTCACACCACGGAGACCTGGCCAGGAGCCCCTCAGTCCAGCCTGAGTGGCTATGCAAGGCCGGGCGGAGGGAAGGGAGCCCTGCAGGGCCAAGGCGGGCTGCTCCAAGGGACTGTGGTGCCCATGAAGCACACAGGAGTGGGGCAGCTGGGCTGGGGCTTGCCTGACCCTATCCTGGAGCCGAGGTGTCTGTTGGGACCTGGCCTCCTGCCAGCAGAGGCAGTTCTTTCCTCTACGCGCCTGTCATGCTGTGTCACTACCAAGGATGTTTGTTTTGACAAGTTGGTTTCTGTTCCGATGATTTGCCTCAGACAACAGCTACTGGAAGGAGAGATGACGTGTCAGGGAGCTGGAGCAGAGGAGACACTGGGCCCCATGGCAAGGAAATGACCACTCGGAACCCTAACCACGGCAGGGTTGAAGGGCTCAGTCTGGTGGAGCCCAGAGCTGCAAGAAAAAGTGCTTCTCATTCGGCTGAGTCCCTCCCTTGCCCCTGCAGGGGGTCCCTGCTGGCGGGTCACCCCAGCAGGAGGCTGCCTGTAGAAGGCCCTCCACAGGGCAGAGGGGCACATGTATGAGGCCCTGTAGGTGGCAGGCTTCCTGGTGGAAACAGCATGAGCCGCCTGCTAGTGCGACCATGGGTGCTGGCTGGGTGAGAACACAGCATGAGGGTGTCGTCAAGGCCAGGATGGCACCAAAATCACTGAGGCCCACAGTGGCCAGGCTGAGGAGAAGTAGGTCCTGGGGGGCTCTGGGCAGGGCTGCCAGCCAGCTGCCCTTCAGCCTGCCGGCAGGCCTGTATTTTCACTCCTGCAGGGCCAAGGGCAGACGTGGGGGAGTGAGCGATAGGTGAGGATGGGATTGGGAACTGAGTTGGAGGAGACGCTCTAGATGTTTAGTGCTCCTCTGTGGTGCTGGGACTTGAACACAGGGCCCGGTGGGTGCTGGGCAAGTCTTCTGTCACGGAGCTACTCTCAACCCTCGTGTTTATGGCAGACCCGAAAGCCCAGAAATTCACAGTGAGAGGAGTTCCAGGCTAGAGTTCCCGAGGACGGGATGTGGGAGTCCCGGCCTCAAGGGACCATGAACTCGAGGCAGTGAATCTCAGAGGTGCTGTCCAGGAGGTGGGGCGTGGGACAGCCGTCAGGGGTCACGCAGAGCAGCCAGTGCCCCAGGGGCACTTAGGGTTCATGGGAAATGGGGGACTCAGAAGGTGACCTAGTCTCCCGTGACCATGGCTGGCCCTGGGGACAGGAGCCTGCGGCCCTGGAGGGCAGCCTGGGGCTCCAGGCTCCAGGTGGGGATGAACTTGCCTGGCTCTGGAGCCCAGAGGAGAAGACAGCCGCTTTCCTCCTCCTCCCTCGGCCCCACGCTGGAGCCCGTTCAGGGCCGCCTCAGCCCCACCGCTACAAAGATTCCCAGTAGCTTTCCAGTAGCTAATGAAAATACAAACAACCCTAGAGGAAGTCCAGGGCAGAAATTCAAATGGCAGAAAGGGACAGAGGATGGGAGGTCCCAGTGGCCCTTTCTCCCCCGGAGCAGTTCCTTCTGGACCTTGGGAGCCCAACAAGCTGGGGGCAGCTCCTGTGGGCGTACCACCCTGCTTGGGACATGCCTTCGCCCTCTGGCACAGGCCTCGCTCTCCTCCCTCCTGCTCTCCTTTCTTGATTTTCAGACAGTGGAGACATACAGGAGAGGACTGAGGAAAAACTGCTTCCACTGTCTTGCTGCCCAGAGTTCACCAAGGCAGCATCCTGCAGTCCACTCTGCCTTTCTCCTCAATGAGCCCTGGCCCTCGATGTTTGAGGGGACTGTCTCCTGCTCTGTGCTGTCTTGCCTCCAGAGGACAAGCGGCCCTTCTCAGAGCTGTAGCCAGGTTGCACTCTGAGGGCTGGCCTGGCTCTGGCTCCAGAAAGACAGTGACAGCCCACAGTGTCCCCTGGACCTGGGGAAACCTGCTCAGCCACTGCATGGAGATGGGGGTTGCACTGAGAAACCATCCGGGAACCTGTTCTGGGTGGTCAGGGCTGTCCGGGGTCAGGGTAGGCAGGGGCCGGCCCAGGATTCCAGTGCAGGGAAGGGAGGGAGCCCCGTGGAGGTCACAACCCAGGCCGAGGTGTGGTGGATGAAACTGCCCCTTGTTCAGATCCTTCCTCAGCCCCTTCACTCTGCACAAAGCCACTCTGCCCGGCGCAGACATCTTGGGAATGAGAGGGTGGCTGGGCTGAGATGGGCAGTGCCCAGGGTGCTGGGCAGAGGCTTGGGAAGCAGCACAGGCAGACCAGGCAGGAGGGAGGCCAAGATGGACAGGGGGAACAGGGCGGGCCAGGAGCGGCCGATGCTGCATGTGGGAGAGCTCAGGGCAGGCTCTCTGGGGAAGGGGAGGCTTTCCAGACTGGGTGACAAGGAACAGAAGAATGATCCCAGAGGAGACAGCACAGTAGGAAAGGGGCAGCCAGCCTCTGACCTGGCATGGGAGCAAAGAGCAAGGTCCAGGCAGGGGTCCTAGATGTGTGGGAGCTGGCCTGGGGCACACAAGATAGTTCACCCTCCTTCCCACATGGCCACGGGCCCAGGACTAGCCTTGTCAGGGGCCACCTTCCCACACTAGGTGGCAGGCCAGAGGGAGGGTGTGTCAGAACATCACAGGGGCTCCA